TCCATTCCCGCCAACGGCAACCTTCAAATTCGTATTCCCCAGAGAATGCAATCCAAAATTGGGGTTTTTAACCTCAAGGATTCCAGCGCCAATTGTTGCATTCCCACAGCTTCCTGGGGCATCTCGAAGTAGTTCCGCAGCGCCCGTTGACGTTGAATCACTTCCAACCACTCCACCCCATTCAACGTTTTTGCCGCCTTGTTCCTGCGAGTTCAGAGGTAGGTGGACTCGAATTGGGTCTTGCAGTTGGGGTACGTTCGAATCAAACTGGCCATTGGTGAAGCTTTCCGGGTTCGTGGGGAACATTTTGGCGGCTTTGGCGAAGCTCGGCGTGTTGCCAGTTGCTCCGACCAATAGCCTCTCTCTCCTGCCCTGTTCTGGCGCCGAAAAGCAGAGCCTCCGTTCCTCTGGCCGCCGATGAGACTTCCCGTGCGCCAGAGCTGTGAGCATCAACTTTTGAATCATCATCCCGGCTTCACAATGCTTGCCAAAATTCGCACCAAGGGGCTCGTTCTTATCCTTGCTCCGACTCACCATCAATTGTTGTTGATCGGCCCTGACATCCGTCGGAGACAATGGCTTGAGCAGAAATTTGCGTCCATTATGCTTGAATCGGTACGAATTTCCTCTGCCATCATGGACAACCCCACGATCATACTGCCAAGGGCGCCCTAACAAGAGGTGTGCAGCTTGCATCGGAGCTACATCGCACCATAATTCATCCTCGTACTCGCCGATTTTGAAGTGAACTTTCGCCTGTTTGTTCACTTTCAACGTCCCGTACTCATTTAACCAATGCAGGCTGTATGGTTGGGAGTGTTTAATCGTTGCTAGCCCGAGCTTCTTAACGGCATCAAGGCTGATGACGTTTGTGCAGCTGCCTCCGTCAATTACAACAGACAATAACTTCCCTTCAATTTTACAACGGGTGTGAAAAAGATTATCTCGTTGTTCTTCGCTGGCCAGAGAATCCAAAGTAAGTGCTCGACGATTTACTCCGAGAAATTTTCCCGTAGGAGGGACTTCGACTTCAATTGATTCATCGACTTCGGGATCAGACTCACTCCCTTCGCTGCCATCTTCCTCTGCTTCATCTTCGGTCACGTACTCTCCATTGCGTAGCACCAGGGCCTTCTTGTTTGGGCACTGGTTGGCCTTGTGGCCTCTGCCGAAACACTTAAAGCATTGTATGTTGCTCGTCGATCCTCCCGGCTTCTCGTGATTCGTCGGAACAGTAGTGCGGGGTGTAGATTTGGGCCCTTCCAATCTGGCCGGTTCAGAATTCATCACAGGAACGTGCTCTGAATTAGTCTTCGAGTACCTCCTCCCCGCACTTGCTCGTTGTTGTCGTTCCACCTTTACTGCAAGATGTACGACTTCTTCCAGCTCAACGAATGGTCGCAGCTCGACTTCGAGTCTGATTTCACGATTCATCCCATGAAGGAACCGTGCAATAGTGGCTTCTTTATCTTCCCGGACATCAGCACGCATCATGAGGAGCTCAAGCTCTCGATAGTACTCGTCAATGGATTTTGAACACTGCCGTAACTGCTGCAGAGACTCAAACAGATCGCGTTGATAGTATCCCGGAACAAAACGTTCTCGCAGTAAACCTCTCAGCTCCGTCCAAGTTGTGACTTCAGGTTGTAAATTCCTACGACGGCGGAGCTGGGTTTTCTCCCACCACTGTGCCGCATAGTCGGTGAATTCGTACGTTGCAAGAAGTACTTTCTGGGCTTCGCTGTAATCGCCGCATTGAAAGAAAAGCATGATCTTTCTTTCCCAATCGAGATACACCGAGGCATTGTTTGTGCCCGAGAACGATGGAACTTGTAATTTAATACCTCTCAGCTCGGCAATGTTGTTTCCGTGTTCTACTTCTGCTACTACTTGTCGTTCGTGATTGTCCTGAAGCGGGTCTTGCTCGAAATTCTGTTCCGCAACAACAACCCTCTGCTGCCGAACAGGGGCGTTCACCGTCACTCTGAGGTCAGCCAGCTGCTGATTCAAAGTGTCGAACTGGGCTTGGATAGCGGCATTCTGCTGCGCCATCATGGTTCGAAGCAATTCCACGACATTGACCTGCTCCGCCATGGCCGAATCGTCGCCCGCTGCAGTCTCCTTTTCTGACACAGACTCTGCCGCGAGCGACCGTTCTTTGTTAGGGGAACCCAGAACAACCGACTGCTTCTTTGAAACTCGCTGTCCTACTACCAAAACAGCAGCAGGATCGCACTCTACAGGGCCCTTCGATCGGGTCCACATCGTCGTGCCCGCGCCGCCTTCTGTCGATGAACTCGTCGTCTCTGCCACCGCGGGAGAATCGTCACACGGCCACTGAGTTGAACCAGGCTCTGATACCACTTGATAAGCCTCAAATCTCGAAGCTAAGGAATCAGCGTACCAACACCTCAACCCTTCGAACTTGTGGAATTGAAACTCGGAACTGGAAAAGAAGAACAGGGAAAGATGGGTTGGAAGGTGCAACTTCAACACACGAAATCGGGGAAGAGGCTCGATCCAAATAGGTAGCAACTCGTCCACCATTGATGTGATGACTCAATCGATGCTGAGCTCGCTCGTTGATGGATTTGATCCCACGCAACAAGGACAATCAAAGAGCATGAAACTCCATGACTAGGGTTCTTATTAAACTTCAAAAACTGAAAACTTACAACGCAAACGACGATTACTTAAATAGCTAGCTAGTATAACTCGACTAACAACTTCCTTATCCTACTGGAACTTGACAAAACAAGGTTTAAACTGAAAAGGAATAAACTTCAACTCAAACAAGGAAACAATGAAACCATTCTGCCTGCAGCTCCAAGTCACCAAACAGCCTTTGATCCCATCTTCGAGGCCTTCGATGGACGACTTCCAGATATGAAACAATTCACCCAATGCCCTTCCTTTGTAGATGAAAATGCATATTTTCATGTGGTATCGAGCCCCTGACTCGATTCTCTGTCCTCTGCCCAGAATGGAACTCCAAAGTGACCTTCCTGAACATACCTCCAGACTTGGTCAAATTCTGGAAAACTGCCAGTTGTGTGATAGCTACTTTGAGCCCGTGGGAAGCAGCATTAATGGCGTCGTATGAATCTGAAACCCATACCATCTTGTTCAGAAAGTCTTCATGATCAAAACGACACCCTAAACTCCCATTTTCATCAGCCCAATTGGTAGAACCGAGCTCCCAAAGTTGACTACCTGAACACGTCAATACACTTAGCCAAAAGTCCAGATTGTTCAAATGAGTTGGGTTAGCTTCGTGGGCAAGTAATTCGAGCTTGGTAATGACGCAATTCTGGGTTGTATCAAAGGTTGAATACCCATTGATTTGGGTTCAATTGTCAAAAGTTAATTAATTAGAACCTTGGCACAAAACCTCCTCAAAGTTTCAATGATTTAAGTGTGCAAAACTAATTGTTGAGCCAAAATTCGGCAACAACTGGTTCAACATGCTTTAACCGGATCGAAGTAGGTCGAATACCCATTGATTCAATTGTCATAAATTAACTAATTAGAACCTCTATGGCACAAAAATCCTCCAAGCTTCAATTATTTAAGCGTGCAATACTCGTTGTTGAGCCAAAATTCGTAAAACATCAGGTTCAACTGCTTCAACCGAGTCGAAGTAGGTCGAACACCCATTGATTTGGGTTCAATTTGGATTTTATTGTCATTAGTTAATCAATTAGAACTTTGGATTTAATTGCCATAAGTTAATCAATCAGAACTTTAATGGCACAAAAACTCCTCCAAACTTCAATGTTTAAGGCACAAAACTCGTTGTTGAGGCAAAATTCGTAAGCACCGAGTTGAATTTGCTTAAACTAAGCGTACAAAACTCGTTGTTGAGCCAAAATTCGCCAACAACTGGTTCAACTTGCTTTAATCGGATCGAAGTAGGTCAAAGACCCACTGATTCATTTGCCATAAGTTAACTAATTAGAACCTCCTTCAAGCTTCAATGAATTAAGTGGGAAAACTCGTTGTTGAGCCAAAATTCGTCAACATGGTTTAACTTGCCTTAAACCGAGTCGAAGTAGGTCAAACACCCATTGATTTGGATTTAATTTGGATTTAATTTTCATAAGTTAATCAATGATTAAAGCACAAATTTGTAAACACTCGGTTCAACTCGCTTAAAATGGATCGAAGTAGGTCGAACAACCATTGATTTGGGTTCAATTTGGGTTCAATTGTAGTAAGTTGATTAATTAGTACCTTAAAATCTCTCCAAACTTTGGTCAATTACAAATGACCACCCCTTGTGATGGGACACTATGCAATAGTAACTTGGTTACTTGTTCTTTCATCGAGATAATAATAATAATAATAATAATAATAATAATAATTTGGGTTCAATTGTAGTAAGTTAATTAATTAGTACCTTAATGGCATAAAACCTCTCCAAACTTTGGTCAATTACGAATGACCACCCCTTGTGATGGGACACTATGCAATAGTAACTTGGTTACATGTTCTTTTATAGAGATAATAATAATAATTATTATTATAATTATCATCTTATACCAGTAAGGGTAAGGCACAATGGGTTTTCATGGTATGGTACGAGGTTGTATAGTGTCGAATGATTGGGTCTAACATATTTTTCACCTTCTAATCATGACACAGTAAGTACCATGGTGGTAGGGGTGGTATTTTGTGGTCTTACCATATCACGTTGGATTGCATTACCATCGCACATTACCAAGGAATCGTTAGTTACCTTGGTGGTATCAGTACTGTTATACTATCATTGAGTAGTATTATGCTATCATACTACCACCATGTGTGGTATAGTTTGGCATGATTCTACGAAAATAATTTATCACCTGCTACCACCATTGTGTTGGGCGCAGCGGGTGAGAATAGCGGGTAAATATATTGCACTAAGAAATCACACGCTTGTAAAAAGTTCACAAATAAGTTGGACCTGGTGGCAGAGCCTCCAGAATTACGGTAACCAACTTACTTAGATCAATTTACTTCGGTAATTTAATAATGCAATATACTACGACTATTCTCAAAATAACAACAAGCATAGATAATAATAAATGACACCGAGGATTTACGTGGTATACCCTGATTTTGGGCCAGTCCACGGGAACAACAGCTCCGGAGTATTTCTTTACTATAACAATGGTAGGTTACAGAGATTTTCTCGATACAAGAAATAGAACACACGGTGTTTCCCAAACAACCTCACTATTTCACTCACAAAGAAATCTCCTATCTACCCGTGGTAGTGAAAATATTTCACTACCAAAACCCACAAAAGAAATACGAACAGAAGCAGAGCAAAGGAAATGGAGAAGGATGGAATGGTAAGGGATGATTGAAATGAGGCAAATGCCTCTGCATTTTATAGCCAGGGAAGAGGGGAAGGGAATTAAATTCCCATATGCTAACTCACCTCCCCAACTGCATTTTTGGGTGCTTTAATATTTGTTGATTTTTTTTTTTATAATTACCAAATTGCTGGCTCTTGCTCCACCACATGTAGCCGGGCCAACAATTCTCCCCCGCCTGACTATATGGGCGACTTCATCAACAGAGTTTGCACCATCATCATCACTGTTCTCATCTCGTTTGCCCTTCCTTCTCTCGTTTCTGAACTTTGGGCAAAATCTTCTGATGTGGCCCTTTTCCTTGCAGTGATGACAATTGATGTTGGCAAACTTGTTGGACTTCCCTCGACTCTTGCCTCTTTGCTTTGAGCCTCTCGCTTCACTTCTTCCTCTGCTTCTGGAATCCACCACCAAAAGGTCTGACTGGGAAGATGATGAGGATGCACCTTGTGATCTTTTCCGCATCTCTTCATTCAGAACCCCACTTTTGCCGATCTCCATGTTGATAACTCCATCTTTCGCAGAGTTGGTAAGTGAAATTTTTAGCGTCTCCCAAGATTCTGGAAGGGAAGCCAGAACGAGGAGAGCGACAACCTCATCTTCCATCTTTATGCCCATACCGGACAACTGATCCACGATCCCTTGAATTTCGTTCAAGTGATCCGCCAAGGATTTGCCTTCCTTGTATTTCATCTGGACCAACTTGGTCAGATAAAATAATTTGTTGTTGCCGGTCTTTGATGCATAGAGTGCCTCCAGCTTGTTCCACAGAGTTCTGGCATGAGTTTCTCCGCTAATGTGGTTGTATACATTATCGTCGACGAACTGTCGAATGTAGCCACATACTTGCTCATGCTTGAACTCCCATTCCTCTTCAGTTTTGCCATCAGGTTTAGTTGGGCTAAACACCGGAAAATGCAACTCCATCACGAGTAGGAGATCCTTCATCTTGTTTCTCCATATGTGATAGTTGGAGCCATTCAGACTTATCATCTTGCTTGTTTTTGCCTCCATTTGGACGTGGCTCTGATACCACTTGTTGGGCGTAGCGGGTGATAATAGCGGGTAAATATATTGCACTAAGAAATCACACGCTTGTAAAAAGTTCACTAATAAGTTGGACCTGGTGGCAGAGCCTCCAGAATTACGGTAACCAACTTACTTAGATCAATTTACTTCGGTAATTTAATAATGCAATATACTACGACTATTCTCAAAATAACAACAAGCATAGATAATAATAAATGACACCGAGGATTTACGTGGTATACCCTGATTTTGGGCCAGTCCACGGGAACAACAGCTCCGGAGTATTTCTTTACTATAACAATGGTAGGTTACAGAGATTTTCTCGATACAAGAAATAGAACACACGGTGTTTCCCAAACAACCTCACTATTTCACTCACAAAGAAATCTCCTATCTACCCGTGGTAGTGAAAACATTTCACTACCAAAACCCACAAAAGAAATACGAACAGAAGCAGAGCAAATGAAATGGAGAAGGATGGAATGATAAGGGATGATTGAAATGAGGCAAATGCCTCTGCATTTTATAGCCAGGGAAGAGGGGAAGGGAATTGAATTCCCATATGCTAACTCACCTCCCCAACTGTATTTTTGGGTGTTTTAATATTTGTAGATTTTTTTTTTTTATAATTACCAAATTGCTGGCTCTTGCTCCACCACATGTAGCCGGGCCAACACATTGAACAATAAGTTACAATGATGAGATGAGGTAGTAGTACTATAATATCATCATTGTAAGATGGTAATGTACTGTGATATGATCATATCATCATACCAGTAATTTTTATGTTTTGAAATCCGGACCATATAGTGTAATCGTTTTCATTGCATTACTAATCGAATAATCGGAACCTTTAGTACATTTTCAGTTCAATACTCAATCTCTATCTTCCCATTTTCTCAATCTTAATCTCAAACTCCTTCTCAACCCATACCCAATTTTCTCTCGACTCTCTCTCAAACCCTCGGTCTAATCAACTATCCTGCATCAACTAGCCCATGCAGAATTCCATTAATTAATCCATGCACGATGAACAACAGTGGTATCGTCATCATTTGAACTTAGACTGGAGCTGAGTGGCCACACTGTCATCAGCCTGAAGCGCCTTGGCCACAACCTCGACCGGAATCTTGGGACACGAACCCAACACCGCCGCAACCACCGGCTGGGTCCCAGGGTTCTGGCTGTCGAGCGCCGCGATCCCGACGGCTGCCTCCTTGCCGACGTTCCTCTGGTAGTGCGTCAGCGCCTGGGGAAACACGAACGCTTCCCCCGCTTGCAGGACCTTGGTGATGAGCTTGGTCTCCGGCAGTGTGGTGACGAACCCGACCTCGAGGGTGCCTTCCATGACGATGAGCAGCTCACTCGCCCTCGGGTGGATGTGGGGCGCGTTCACTCCACCGGGGGCGAAGTCGAGGCGGACCATGGACACGCCTTGGGTGTTGAGCCCCGGGATCTGGTTCACGGTCACCAGCGTGGCTTTGAATCCGGCCGTGTTGTTGGTGTCGCCCGGTTTGTTGAGCCCCCTGAAGGTGAAATCATCCGCCTTTACTGATTCTGGTGGCTTGCAAGCGAACCCATTCATCGGCACTGCAAATTAAGACGATTTAAGAAAATTCACAATATATATGCTCACGATCGAATGAAGATACCATTGTTATTGCGCGTAGTCAAATCTGGAGTAATTAATATGTATGACAAAGTATTTTTACGATTTTGCTCATACCCTAGCTACCCGTACCTCCACTCTTATCGGCGACGCAGTAATCCTGAAGTGGCTTGCCATCGGTGGCGAGAACAGGGGAAGAAGCTAATGAAAGAAGGGTGATGGTGAAGACGACGAGACAGTTGCCGATGGCCATTGCTGACGTTTACTGTAAGCTTTGTTGATAATTTGGTTATATTTAGGGAAGAAGAGATGGGGGAGAAGGCCAGGGAATGGATGAATGATCAGTTAGCTAGTATGGTGAAGTTGTGAGGAGTACTTATTATACATGACATGTGTTTGTGTCCTCCGACTTTCCTTCAGTCTACCGGAAACAATTCATTAACTAGCGGTAGAGAAACGTTCAAGTGTTTTCCTTCCCGGATCCGATATATCTTCCTTCCTTTTCCCTCCGACTCCGTGCATGAAGGAATTGAACCCTCTCGGCCGACAATTTACACCAAATATTTATCTTCTGTCGTCAATTTTATTTTCCTTGCTATTCTGTACACGTACTGAATTGCTTAAGTTCCACTTTATTCTCATTGTATTTTTCTTTTTTTGTCTAAAAAATTAACAATGACTACAGAACGAAGGACATAATTTTACCTAAATATTTTATGGCTAATGGGTCGTTTACTTGTTGTGATCCAATCTATCATGGGTGGATGGACTTAGCATGAATCCTATGATTTTGTTTAGATTGTGATGGGACTAAATCTGTAAGGACAAACTTGGGGCCGTTTGGATCAGGAAATCTAATGAGGGATTCAGCCGGCACGCCCAGGATTTTAACCCATTTTCTTGTTTGGGTAGCTCTCAAATAATGCAAGATTTGGGCCGCTCATAATTTAAAAAATCGGCCCAGCCCGAAATTAGAAATAGCTGTCATCCCCCAAGTATTTTAAAATCCGGCCCCAATCTTACCCATAATTTTCACACACCTACCTCTCATTCTTCCCATCGTTTGAGAGAAGCTCTCTCTCTTCTCTCCCTCCATCACAAGTCGACGGCTTCTTCTCCCTCCCTAGATCCACCAGCCGTCTCACGAAGAAAGCTGTCGCCGTCGACAGAATCTTCCTCTCTCTCCCTTAGATCCGCTGGCCATCTAGCAAACAGAGCCACAAAAAATGTCGACATCTCGTTCTTCTTTATCCAGCTCCGCCGACCATTTCCGAACGAACCCACAACAACTCCGTCTACAAATCCATTCCCCTTCTGAGTGCCACCATCGGCGACGACTCAGTCGAGGATGGTATGGTGGTTGCTGGTGATTTGGTATCGGATGAAGGCATCAGGGCTTCAGATCATCACGACTCGAAGAAGCCAGGGAGGGGGATTGGGGATCTGGGTCGACCACTGGGTAGTGTCAAGAACCAGTTACTCCCAATAACTCGAGTTGTTGGGAGAGGTTCAATCGTGGATCATATACCACAACACTAGCACGCCCCCTCAAACGAAAGCCACTCACAAGGGCTTGAAGTTTGCACATGTCTGAATACAAGAATACCATGTGCTTAACAAATGGGGGTCACCGGGAATCGAACACAAGACCTCTCGGTCACAGAAGGCTCTGATACCATGTCAAGAACTAGTTACTCCCAATAACTCGAGTTGTTGGGAGAGGTTCAATCGTGGATCATATACCACAACACTAACAGGTAGAACGACGTTGTCATCGCATGAGAGGCGTCGTCGTGTCTCTGATTCTGCAGCATGATCTGTTTCGACCACTGGGGAGAACGCCGCCGCCGTAATTGCTCCGCATTCAATCTTTTCTGGTTTTCCCTTCCATTTCGACATTTTGGTGACCCTAGGGATTGGATCTCGACGGGAAGAAGCTCGTTCCTTCATGGATCTTCGAATCGTGGGGGAATCATAGGCAGTTTAGAGAATGAGTTTGCCACCTGGTGGCGGTTAGAATTACCCATCTGTTTCTGGCCCTTGTTCAATCTGTTCGCCCATTATCGAGGAAGAACCCAGATCCTCTGCTCCTTTTGGTTGTCCCAATCTGTTTTGCCCCCTTGTTGTCGTCCTCTTCTCTCTCTGCGTCTGTGTAAGTCCTCTATTGCCAGCTGCCTTCATCAACTACCGGGAGATTTGGACTTTGGAGTTGCCGTCGCGCCGCGGAGCCTGAAGATCAGAACGGAAGGAAGAAGATGACGCAAGAGGAGAGGAAGAAGATTACGCAGGAGGGCAAATTTGTAATTTTATTTTTCTTATTAAAAGTTAAATTTCTTGATGGACAATTCCGGAACCATAACAAACAATGATTTGGTTTAATTTCCTTGTTTTAGTTATATTTCCTGGGTTTTTCAATGAGTTATGGGTTCAAATCTCTCCCTTAATAAAACCCTCATCCAAACGACCCCTTGAAGGATTCAAATAATGGGTCTTGTGAACTTACTGAATCTCAAATCTTTTTTTTTTTTTTACAAAAGATAATCATTCATTGATTCAACAAAATAGATCGTTACATCCTGGAATTCAGCCAGGCCTGGAAATCAAAGGAACAACTCATGGTCGGGTACAATGAAAGGGCCTTTCTAGCGACCGAATGGGCTACCCTATTACTACGCCGACCTACACATCGAATACTAAAATCAGGGTGACCGCCTCATGGAGGCTAAGTAATTCGACCACCATAGGGTCATCTATGACCGGAAAGTGGACCCCATTCGCCATAAGAACCTGCCTCGTTGGATTAAGAATAACCGTGCCCTCGGCCGAGTGCGACCCAATTCTAGTGGCCTCATCCCACATACAGACAAAACGCGGGGCACCAACATTATCCTGGTGTGTAGGCTCATGAGAGGAGGTCGCGGGACGGGGCTTTTCGACAAGCTGACCCATTCCTCATACTGTGACTCGCTATGACACAACTCCTAACAATGGCCAAGTGTAACCAATGAAAGGGACTGCAGTATAGTGGCTCAAGTAATAAATATCGAATCCACGGGTCTCTAGAGTTACTATTACTCAGCTTCAGTTCATTATCTAGCAAACCAGATTAAGATGGAAGAACTAAAACTACTCTAGCAAACTACAGTTAAAGTTAATCTAATTACAGGTTGGGAACTCACTTAGGTATGATTCCCCCTAGCCACTAGCCAGATTAATGATTGATGATCTCTAACCTGTTTCACTTTCATTCACAATGCGGAGAATCCTTGACTAGACCTTGAGTCTCGACTAAAGGAACAAGGCCCTCTTGAGTCAATTGCCTAGAGGGACGTATCCTTCTCTAGAACAACCGATCAAGGCGTTCTGAACTAGACTCCCACTATCGAAAGAGGTTCTCAATCGATACAAAGCAGTGAATCAACCCTCGACTAAAGGAATCGATCCACTACTATCAATCTATGGTGCTCTATTGACCTAATCAGGTATTCGCTCTCATATGATCAAAGCATAATCAATAATCTCGACTAAAGCAGAATTGAATCATGAAATCATGCATAGATTGAATATGAACTCAAGATTATCAAGTCAGAGTACTCATATAATCATCCCATCAAACAAACATAGCTAGGGTTCCTCAAAACCTAAGTGAAGGGAAGTTACTCCATAGAGAAGAGAGAGACTGCAGTAAGAATCTTCAGATGATCAGTCTTCCAGTCCGGGCTTCTTCCTCGAGCTTCCAAGATGAAGAAATCCTCCAATTCCACTCCAAGAATGCCCTCAAATCGCCCTCTCTTTCTTTGGTTCGTCCCTTGGGTGTTTGGGATCCAAAATCCAGCTCTCCCTTGCAAAAACGCACAAAACAGGCTTTTAACAGCCTGCGTTCGCGATAGGGGATTTTTGGTTCACGATAGGGGATTTTGGTTCACGATAGGGGATTTTTGGGAAAATCCCCTATCAAGGCCAAAAATCCCCTACCGGGGATTTTAGCGTCACGATAGGGCCCCCTTCTGTTTCTCAGAGAAGCCCGAAACCAATTTCCCCCTATCTTTGATTCTTCGTTTCTCCCTCGTTCGGACTCCAGATCAGGTGCCGTTTGATCCCAGAAGCTCGTAGTCTCGTCCTATTTCTTCTCTTGAAAAGATTACATGATTATATTGTCACAAACTGAGGTAGAAATTCATTCTTCTTCAAGTCATACCCGAGTTTCTTCCTCCGATTCGTCAATTGATCTCCGATTGACTTGAAAGTTGCGCCTACGCTTCACTTTATGTGCTAGGACCTGAAATGTGACAAAGGAACACAACCTAGCGTAAAATAGGCCAAAGAAGCGATAATGCAAGCTTAAACGATCAAGAAACAAAGGGGAAAACATGTGCAAATATCGAGTCATCAAATCCCCCCACACTTAACCGTTTGCTTGTCCCCAAGCAAACCTAACTCAAACCAATGCAACTCTCCAGAACTCTATAGAAACACGCACCCTCGATCGTTGATAGAGGATTTTCTAGATCATTTAGCAGCTTACGAGGTCAACCGACACACAAGTCATCTCATAGCTTCTTCGGCGAGAACGCTAGTCTCGAGTCGACATCATGGCAAATAGTGATCAGAGGATAGATGAATCGTGGACGAAGAGACTCTCAAAAACTAAAGATCATGGACTCACATTTTTCAAGGTGCTCTTATTTTCTTTTTGAAGACGGTTGGAACCCCTTTTTTTCCTTTTCTTTTGTTCTCTTTTTTTTTTTTTTCTTCCAAGGGTTCCAACCCGATTTTCAGAAAACGGGGCTCCCACCTAGCAAAGGTTTTGC